CCTTCATCAACCGTGACGTATAGTCAACATAGCCCCACCACGACATGCATGGCATCTGGGGAGGCCCTCATCCAGCAGGTGGATTGACAAGAAGGGCAGATAAGTGTCCACGCGCATATCCTAGACATTGCAAACGAGGGGGCGTATTGTTAAAGCCACTTGTATGTGTGATGAACTTCTTTCACACCATACGTAGCCAACCTTGCTAATCGGAGGTGCGGAGGGAAGGAAAACTAAATAAATCCAAAAAGCAGTTCTAAAGAAATTCGTTTACAATTTGTGGCTTCTGAAGATGATGATAGCGATGATGATTGTAACAATAATCAGGCATCTGTTAAGCTGCACTGTACTCAGACCGCTGGCGTATATTTACATTTTCATGGCTATTGGCATTCACTTTCATAAAAGGTACCATAAGATGCGGTGTAACTCCCAACGACATGTTCATCTTCTGCCCATGTCATGAGCTTTGGCCGAACTAGCATTTTCATAAAAGGCAAAAGTGCAGCCTTGCTGGCGAAAGTGTCTCTACACCGGAGAACCCTAAGAAGAGGGTTCATTGGCCTACTCTTCCAAACTGGCCTGTTTTGGAAGCGGTGGCAGTATCCGACACTTTGCCCCACCACACGCAACCGGCCAATGATGGGCAAACCGTGGTGCACCCATTTATAACTTCTGGGTGGATTTCAGAAACTTGATCATTCATTGAACTGCCGTTCCAGGAAATTAAAATGGATCGAACCGGCGACCACTAAATTGCAAATCTAGTGTGCTGACTATTCCACCACGACAGCATAACAGTCAACATGAAACCTCGGAAACCAAGAATTTCATGTGAATATTTTTTTAAAATATACCACGTGTGTACTTTGTACATGATGACGCGGCTGCTATAAATACACGCCTTTCCATTGTTCCACGACTGTCCTGTGCAACTCGCGGCCGACAAGAATTAAGAGTAAATATATAATGCATGACAGGAGGCTTCCTTACCAAACTCTCAAGGGACGGGCGGCCTTGACAGCTAGCGACAAAGTTACGCAACACGGCTCTCACAGTCACAACAAATACCACACGTGGCACACGCATCACCGCCCCCACACACACACCGTGCTCTGCGTATGCACAGCAATCGTTTGTGGTTGACTTGATACTCCCGCCCGCCAACCAGCCCCGCCCATGAAGCACTGGGTTGTTGTTGTTGTTGGCACGAAATTTCACACCGCATCCTAAAATGATGAGAGATTGTGTCGAGATCTGTGTTGTTCGTGCTTGTGTGCCCAACTGCCAGCGTGCACGCTGTCACAAACAAAACACACGATTTTGGCTAAATTCAAGGTAGCCAATTTTGGTTGCTGGCACAATCCAGAGTTCGCCGCTTCGATGCGATCTCCTGGCGCGGCAGTTGAAGCAACGGGGCAGGTTTATTGAATCACTGCCAAGCGCGCGTTCAGTATGTGCTTCTGCGGCCATCTGGAACGCTCTTCCTTTCGACAATTAGGACGCCACTGGACCTGTGCACTTTTAAATCTCGACTGAAAACTCCTTTGTTCAAAATTGCCTTTTGCGTTTGGTTCGTTGTCCTTCCGATTAGCACGGTTGGCTGCGTACGGTGCGAAAGAAGTTCAACATACACACACGCAGAAGCCTCTGTTCACTCGAGCAGTGCAAACGGGTGCAACAGTCGCGTGCGTTCGGAGTTGTGTGCGGGGTACTCCCACTTCAAGGGGGACGTCCACTGACGACGTGGAGAAATGACATCGACGCGTGTGCAAGTGCTGGGTGGATTGTTAAATCGCAGAATCGCGAGGGATGCCAACGGCTTCGGGAGCCCTTCATCCAGCAGTGGATTGACCATGGCTGATGGTGGCAATGGTGAACGCGGTATTGTTAGCAGAGGCTGCATGGGTGTGAGCATGTGTAAGATCTGCAGTGCATGGCCAACGGAGTGTCATCTCCATAATAGATGTTTTTTGGGTTAGATCGCGTAAATATATAAATGTGTCGTTAAAACTCGCCACCACCCGACACAGCCAACTAGTAAGGGTTGTCATGTAAACAGAACGTGGCCAATTCGTCACTAGTACAGCACACCGGTGTGTTGGAGAGCCAAGCCACAACATTTACAATCTGAGTACGACGTTGTGCTAGTAATTATATAGAGCTTCATCAGGCGACACCAGATTACGTGTTAAACGGAGGGTTATCTGCAAACGATCTCCAAATTCAGCTCTTCGTGCAATACCGATCCAGCTTGGAAAACAACGCCTGGCATTTTAAGTCCCAATATAAAAAACATATCTTTCTCTCTGTGGAAATAGATGTTTACAAGCAAATTAAAGTGTCAAGAAATGTAATTACATCTCAAATAAAAAAAGCAAGACCATGCAAACAAATCTCAATAAAGTAACAAACAAAATTCAAGGAGAACAACAATTTACGTGTTGTATGGTTGCCTCTGTTCTGCTTTTTTAAATATAGGATGTTTGGGTTTACTTTGTTTAATTTTGAGTTGTTTAGCTGTGCACATCCTGTGTTGAAGTTTGATTAATCTGTTTTTATTATATATTGAATATAATTTGGCCAAACCCTATATCAACCATCTGGGTTTCCTAACCGGCAACTGTTGATATGATTTAGCCACATCCGGTCACGTGACTCAGTGGTAGAGCTCACAATCGGAAGGTCACAAGTTACATTCCTAGTTGGAGTAGGCTCAGCCCTCCATGGCTCGCTCCGTGGTCGATAAGATAACTTTGTGTAGAATTCAAAAGTGGTTGTGCTATTAAAAAAACTCGCCCCTGCCGTGAGAATGAGGAATTTCCACCACTGGCTCAGACGTGTGCCGCCTCAATGCTCATTTGAGCGCGAAACCACTTCAGATACTTTTGACTAAATACGACTGCATCCCAAGGACGTTTTAAACCAATAGATGGGCACACAAATGCGGGGCAGCAGCGGGTTGGGAGTGCACACGGGGTGGTCAGAAAGAGTTCAGTGCAGCCGTCCAGTGGCGGCTCCTGCAAAATCTCTCAGGGGGGGCAAATGTCTGGATGATTGATAAGGATAAGGTCCACCCATGCAATGGATAAATTAACAGCTTAAGCATGTAAAGGCAACTTCACTTCTTTAATATTAATGAAAAATAAAGTGACTCTTACAATACATCTTGTTTGTTTCTATACTCACTATTAAGACAATCCACTCAAGTTTCTTTTATTTAAGATTCCACTAGGTGGCGACAAATTATATTGTTGGATGAAACGTGCTTACGTATGATGACGTAAGCACGTTAGGGCGAGCCCTCCCGGAAGCCATAGAGAATGCATTGCAGCGCCCGCCGTTCGAAAAAAAACATCTTTGAATGTAAGTCTATGGGGCCACTCGGGGCGATTCTCAGCCGGAGTGAAATCGCCCAAAAAGAGGCGGTACTCCACAGAACGTGACATGACGCTGATTGGACTATATCCAAAGGCACAGTGACGGCTAGCGTGACTCTGTGGTTGAATGACATTGGTGGTGCGTCGCCCAATCGCCCTAATGAAGAAACCGCCCCTGCAGCCGTCGATGGTGCAGGCAGTGCTACTACTACATCATGGGACCTCCTTTGCCAGTACAAAAATATACTAATAGGGGTTTTCCCCTTTTTTCTGGCAACAAAACTGACACCTTTTGCAAGGAATCATGCTTACATTAACCACAATACTTGCAGTCAAATGCAAACAAAAAACAATACTCTGATAATTTATGCATTGTCTTTGAAACTGATTGGTCCACACCAGAGACAGCTTTCTTTAGAGCCTAGTCTCATATGGTGTTCGACCAGATGACGCCAAAAGGCCAGAAAAAAGGGGAAAAACCCCTATTAGTATATTTAGTGCTACTACTAGTCCATGGGCCCAGACCAAAAAAAAAATCACTTATTGGTACCACCTGAGGTGGCAAAGTCTAGTAATGATTTTTGTAATCCTCCACGTGTGTGGGACATATTCTATGGTGAACCTTTGCGGAGTAGCAGTTTAGTTGTAGTTACCATGACTTTTATACCCATAACCCTATCACAGGCGTCGTCCAGAACGATGAAATGGGCATTATTACTGAAAAACTACCTAGACCAGTGGCGGCTCGTCAATAGAGGGCGCAGGGGCGCCGCCCCCATCAATATTCAAGAAATATACATATACAAAATTTATATAAAAATACATAAATAAAATATTTTTTTCATACGATGTGCTGGCTGGTAGTAAGAAAAGCATCAGCATTTAATAAAAACTGGCTTTAATCGGTCAACTATTTTCTATGTTTTTCAATGTGTTTCATGCGGGGCGCCGGACAAATGGATGTCTATGTGAGACTTTAAATTTTCGGACAGCATGTGTAGTAAGTTGATGAGGAGACGATGAGGAAGTTGAGACACACTGTTTATTAACTCCGGGACAGATACAATAGTTGAAGGGGTATCGGCCCCTTCACCCGTACTATGGGAAACCCACCCTAGTACTAAGCCCTCTGTCCTGTCCCCCAGTCCTCCTCTACTGGGCTACGGGAGGCTGACTGATCTGGCCCTGGCAAGCACAGATCTCGGCACCAGCTAACCAGCCTTGCCCTGATAAGGGCAGCGGTCTGGAAGCTCTTGGGCCGCGCCACTGGCTTACCCGGCTCGGCCCTTATAAGGACGGCGAGACCGGGGAGTCCCAGGGCCTAATCTCCGAGTCTTGGATCTTCACTGGTCAGCTTCGTGTCCAACTGCCTCGAGCTCTTTGGGTTCCACCTTTTATAGGGATCGCCTCCGAGGGCTGGGGGCGTGGGCAATAACTGATGCGGACGTCGGTGTGACCCCCCGTGTATGTGAGTGCCGACAGCCCTGTGTTTGTTGTCCGCCGTTTCTCCCGTAATAACCCCTACATCACCCCCCCCCTGTACAGCTCGCAGCCGTCCCGGCTGCAACAATCCCTCAACCCCCAAGAATAAAGATTAACACCGTCAATACACGTGTGCCTCGTAACAGTAACAATAACAAGAACAAGCGTAACATCAACCGATGGTTCCCTAAAAAAAAACAAAAAACCCCCCACCCGGAACCGCAACACATATACAGAACGGTATAACAGCACATGCAATCAGCATATCGCGATCACACGCGTACATTGAAGTACAATAGCAAGCAAATCTGCAGGCGACCAACACACCATCAATCCCGTCGTAACTTTTCAACCACAACACAGTTATTCCCTCTCATGCAACGACCGCATCGCACACAGCACCTCGCAGCATAATACAGCCCAAAAAAAACATTTTTTTTTTCAATTAAGCCCATCGCGCACGGTGACCCACGAGATGGTACAGCACAGGATACCCGACGCTCCCACGTTAATAATTAACTTTACCATCAAGATAACAACTCCACGCAGCAGCGCACACACTCCCTTTGAAACTCAGCAACCACAGCAGACTCTCCGTCCATTCCCAACACACGCACACACTTACATGGACAGCAAGCAACAAGCAGATAGCGTGGTCATCGTTATTACACACACATACAACCATTAAAAAAACATATATACAATGAGCGGGTTCCGCAGCAACGGAACACGCGCGGAAAGCTAATCATAACAACCGGCGCGTTTTGGCGCGAGTCCGTGCAGCGGGCCCGTCACAAGGGGCCGGCTTGGTAGAGTCAGTGGCAGGTGTCGCATCAGCAGGTGCCTGGTCGTCCGGTTTCCCGGACGTGCCAGCGCCGCCCCCCACGGGGGAGGCTGGCAGCCCAGAGGGCTTCAGTCCTGGGGCTCCTGAAGACGGGACAGTCATTAGTGGATCAGAGGCTGGCATCGATCCCGCCCCCCCGGAGTCAGAGGACTCCCCACATGTTCGGCCATTTACGTGGGAGGAAGCGTGCGGAGCAAAAAATGGCTTTAACCGTGAAGGGTGCACAAACCACCGACGCTTCCCCCACTTAATGCGCACACATTGAGGCCGCACAACCTGCACAATTTCAACGGGGCCCCTCCATGGTCGCAACAACTTAGCCGAGGTGGCCAATGGCACCTGAGGGCAGTGCAACCATGCTCGGTCGCCCGGGTGCCATTCGTGCGTGTGAGTCCGGCGCGACCGCAATCTCTCGTTTTGTTTCTGGCGAGAGTCAGAGTTTTGCATGGCCGCCTGCCGTGCCTCCGCCAAGCGAAGGATGTTAAATTTAACATGGTCGGCGATTTTCGACTTAGCATGAGGCGCGGCAATCGTCAGCTGAGTCGCGACAGGCGGGTCAACCTCGCGACCATACATCAAAAAAAATGGCGAGAACCCGGTCGCCGCGTGAGGAGCCATCCTGTATGCCGCCAGGACTCCCCCGATCCGTAGATCCCAATCGTTTTGGGACTCAGATACCTGGTGGGATAGCATGGACGTAAGAGTCCTATGCAAGCGTTCCACCATCCCATCCGTTTGTGGATGGTAAGGCGAGGTACGAACTTTCTTTGTACCCAGAAGGCCACATACCTCGTGTAAAAGGGTACTAGTGAAATTCTTTCCCTGATCGGTCAACAACCGTTCCGGAGCGCCTTTGTCGAGGACGTAGCCCTGAACAAAAGCCTCCGCAACGGCCGCTGCGGACTGGTTGGCGAGGGGCCAAGCCATAGGCCATCGCGTGAAATATTCCACGCCAACCAGCAGGTACTTATTACCCCTCGGCGTGGAAGGAAACGGTCCCAAAATATCAAGGGCGACCAGCTCGTTAACCCGGGTGACCGAAATGGACTGGAGCGGTGGACTGGCTCCCTTCGCCGGCGGCTTCCGTTGTGCACACTGGGTACAGGACCGCAGCAGATCGTCCACGTCTCTTGCCATGCCCGGCCAAAAGTAATTAAGCTGGAGCATGGCAAGTGTTTTGAGGGTACCCAGGTGCAGGAGCCGTTCATGAGCAGCCCATACAGCCCTACCCCTCAACGTGGAAGGCACCACCAGCCTGTGACGGCGGATCGTCCCGTCCCAATGCATGAGTAAGCCCTGGCACCACCCCCATGAGTCAACGCCCGACTTCCCTTGACCTGATCCTTCCGCGCGACGTCGTAGCGCCAGGAGGGTCGCATCCTCCATTTGGAGGCGACCCCACTCAGTACTTGACAAGCCAAGTAGGGAATCACTCCCACCCTCCGAAATAGGACCAGCGTCCGAAGGAGTATCAACTGCGGCCGCAAGAACCCGATCCCGGCCGTCACTTGCCGATTTGCAACGGCCCGAACCCAAGAAACAAGTGCAATCCGGGGCGATCGGCAGGCGTGATAGGGCATCGGCGTTGGTGTGGCGAATCCCCTTCCGGTAAGTTGTCTCAAAATCGAAATCCTGCATGATCTCGAGCCATCGGGACAACTGCCCCGATGGCTGGTTAATTCGTAGGGCATACTGCAACGCTGCATGATCTGTACGGACGGTGAAATGCCGGCCGTACAGATATGGCCGGTACTGTTGGATAAAGAACACGATAGCCAACAGTTCGCGGCGGGTGACGCAGTACCGCTGCTCGGCCGGGGACAGTACTCTACTACCATAAGCCACAACGCGCTCCACGCCACCCACAATTTGTGACAGCACGCCTCCAATCCCGGTATTGCTTGCGTCCGTGTCGAGCACGAACGGCATGGAAAAATCGGGGTAGCTTAACGGCGGGGCCCCCACCAGGGCATCCCGAAGAGAGACAAAAGCGGCGTTCTCCACCGGCCCCCAATGAAATTTGACCCCTTTTGACGTCAAGGCATGTAGTGGCTTAGCGATGGAAGCAAAGTCCGCAACAAACCAGCGGTAATATGAAGCAAAGCCGATGAAGCTTCTAACCTCCCCCACCGAGGTGGGAATAGGCCAGGAGCTGACACAACGCGTTTTGGCGGGATCGGTTGAGATACCTGACCGGCCGACGATGTGACCCAAATATTTAACAGATTCGCGCAGCAAATGGCACTTTTGTGGCTTGAATTTCAAATTAGCAGCGCGCATTTTGAGAAAGACGGCCCGAAGCCTATCAAGGTGTTCCTCGAACGTCTTACTGAATACGATAACGTCATCCAGGTAAATCAAACACACCTCCCATTGCAAGCCAGCGAGGACCAATTCCATCAGGCGCTGGAACGTCGCGGGAGCAGAGTGTAATCCCATGGGTAAGCGATTGAATTGGAAGAGGCCGTGCGGCGTTCGGAAAGCTGTTTTGGGCCTGGATTCGTCGTCCAAGGGAAGTTGCCAAAATCCTGAGAGCAAATCCAAAGTGGAAAAGAATCGCGATCCCGCGAGGGCATCCAGCGATTCGTCCATTCGAGGAAGCGGATAAGCATCGGCCACCGAGATCTTATTTAATCGCCGGAAATCAACGCAGAACCTTAGGGACCAGTCGTGCTTTTTGACCAACACTATGGGTGCACCCCAAGGGCTGGTCGAGGGAGAAATGATGTCCGATTTCAACATGTCATCTACAGCCGATTTGACATGATCCTTTTCGGCGGGACTTAACCGAAAAGGATTTTGGCGGATAGGAGCGTTGTCACCGGTGTCAATATGGTGGCGTAGCAATTTGGTACATCCGATATCGTATTTGTGTTTACTGAAGACGTCGGAAAATTCTCGCAATAAGGCGCGTAATCTAGCACGTTGTGCGTCAGACAGGTCAGGTGACTCAGCACACAACGCATCCAGCCAAACCTCGTCAGCGTCTGAGGCTAATCGCGTTTGAGAATCGGTGGCCACCTGGCCAATGATCGGCGTTTCCGCAGGTACCGGAACCGCATGTGCGAACACGGTACCTTGCGAAACCACTGCCGTCCGTGTCCCGACATTGAGGACCGCGATAAACGGGTCCCCATCCCCTTTAACAATAGTCTGGGCCGTCACCAGATCTGGCCCACTCACCCCGGCTCTAGATGGTCCCAAAATAACGCCCCGGTCAGAGACTCCTTTATCGAACGGTCGACGCAAGCGCAGGGGTACCAACATCTGTGCCCCCGGGGGTACACGCACCGTCCGAGCAACAAGCGCCTGTACCGTAGCACAGGCAACACGCACGGCAGGGGTGGCAGGTAGGAACGTCATACGTCGGCCCGATGGAAGCTCGATGCATTGCTGGTCAATCAGAATTTTGATGGGCAATTTGGCCAAAAAGTCTGTCCCCAACAGGCACGGAATAGCCAGCGAGGAGGAGACGAACACCGGGCCAGATAGTTTAATGTCCCCTATCGAAATTTGCGCTCGAATTTGACCGATAATACCCAACGAGCCCCCATTCGCAGCGTAAAACGGTATATCGACAGGGAGCAACGGGCGACTCTGAACGGGCAGGATATTATAAATCAAATCTGAAATGATAGTTGCCGAAGCTCCCGTATCGACCAATAGCCGTACCTCCACCCCGTCAATATGCCCCGCGACAACGGACGACCCCGCTGATGCAGCCACAACTCGGTGAGCCAACTCGGACCATTGGCCCGGTTGGAGCGCCCTCCCCGACATGCCGCGACCCGACGCACCAGCACCCAACCCCCGAGAATTGTGTATCGGACCATGTGATAGGAAAGTGGGTGTGTGTGCAGGCCGAACATGTGGGGTGCCATGACTTGCCCGAGGATGTTGCGAAGGCTTGTGAGGAGGGCCGTCCGCAGCTCCAGGTCTCGCACCGCGCTGTCGAGGAGCCCGGCATCCGGACGCCACGTGGCCCCGGAGGCCACAATTATAGCAGACGACGAGCGTTCCAGAGGACTTGGGCTGGTCTCGGTGGCTTGGAACGTCCCGAGCCGGTCGCTCGGCAGATCGCCATCCTGCAGAACGATCCGCAGCGAAGGCTCCCTCCATTCCAGAAGAGGTTGCCGCCACGGTGTGTCGTGCAGCAGCTTTGTTCGCCTTCCTCCGCTGGGAGATGAGATTGGCGTGAATGTGCCTTGCAGCCCGCAGTGATGACATATCCGCATCGTCCTGCGCTAAGATGGTGAAGTCCAGATCGTCAGCCAGCAGCAAAATTTTCTCGGCCACCATCGCATCGATCCCCTCTTCATCCATACGCGGGAAAGCGTCTTTCGCCAATGACAGCAGGGCCGTGCGATAAGCGAGTGGCGATTCCTTATCACCCTTCTGCCGTTCATAGAAGAGCTGGCGACAATCGGAGGACGGCCCATAAACGGTGGCCAGCAGCTGCAGCGCCGACTGAATGGTGGAGCGTGCCGACTTGGGTGCAGCAGTGAGGGTGCCCAGGGCGTCGCCGTCCAATAACGCCGGGAGAGCACACAGCGCCTCGTTGTCCGACCAGCCTGCCATCTCTTGGTGGGCCAAGAACCGGCGCTGGAACCCCCCCCAATCGCCGTCGCTTGCAACAAATACCTGCAGGGCCGGCAGGCGTTGCTGGAATGTCGGCTCCGTCTCCGATCCTCTTGCAGCGTCTCTTGCAGCATCCGTAGCGCGTCCCCGTACTGTATGGTCGGTGCTGGCGTCAGCTGGTGGTGACGTTTCAACCCCTGATAGGCTGCCACCGCGACCCGCCTCCGCCGATGACGTGGCGGCTGCTGGCTGGGCACCGTCTCCCGCGTGACGAGCTGGGACTCCTCCCTCCGCCCCTACTGTCTTCGTGGCGGGATTTTCGAGTCGCCCCGCTGTTGTAAAGGCGGGAGTTTCTGGCGGGCGTTGTCCATCTTCCCGCCGCGTCGCTCCTCCCGGCCCCAGGCGAGTTATTTGTTCCAGCATAGCGGCCGCTGCATACAAGAGCTCCGCCAGCCGCGAGTGAGCCAACGCCAACTCGTCAGTCGACGTCCCGGCCCTCTCCGACGGCCCCGCCGATGTCGGAGCCGGCAGCAGTTGTGCAGGTACGTCGGCGGCGATGTCTTGCACTGCCCCTCCCTCGTCGTCATCCTCTCCTGGGTCTTGGGCACGAGTCTTCCGTCTCGTATCCATGCTTGGCCCACTTCCAACACCAGATGTAGTAAGTTGATGAGGAGACGATGAGGAAGTTGAGACACACTGTTTATTAACTCCGGGACAGATACAATAGTTGAAGGGGTATCGGCCCCTTCACCCGTACTATGGGAAACCCACCCTAGTACTAAGCCCTCTGTCCTGTCCCCCAGTCCTCCTCTACTGGGCTACGGGAGGCTGACTGATCTGGCCCTGGCAAGCACAGATCTCGGCACCAGCTAACCAGCCTTGCCCTGATAAGGGCAGCGGTCTGGAAGCTCTTGGGCCGCGCCACTGGCTTACCCGGCTCGGCCCTTATAAGGACGGCGAGACCGGGGAGTCCCAGGGCCTAATCTCCGAGTCTTGGATCTTCACTGGTCAGCTTCGTGTCCAACTGCCTCGAGCTCTTTGGGTTCCACCTTTTATAGGGATCGCCTCCGAGGGCTGGGGGCGTGGGCAATAACTGATGCGGACGTCGGTGTGACCCCCCGTGTATGTGAGTGCCGACAGCCCTGTGTTTGTTGTCCGCCGTTTCTCCCGTAATAACCCCTACACATGTGACCTGAAGCTGGTCTCTAATTGGTTTCTTAAAGATTCTCTTCGGGGCGCAAGTCGTTGCGTCCCTGGCCAATCAGAATTGGATACATGTTATTTTATCCAATCTGATTGGTTCTCGTCACCTGTCATTCAAATTTACGCTCTGGGCCACTACTGCGAGTGCGCAGGCGACACCACTTTGACACTTGCTAGGCTGATCAAATTTTTTGTGTAAACAATGGCAGCAGTTCATCCAAATTCTGTAATTTATTTACAAAAAAACCCTTTCACAAGGCTTTCGCTGGAAGAAATAAAAAAGATAAAGGATCTCGGACCGGACCAACCCGATTTACAATCCAGCAGCAGGCCAGTGACAGAGGACGAAGCTACACACGAAGCTTCACCCGCGCTTGTTATGAGAAACGGAGGTGGCTGGCTGGATGTGATGTTAGCAATTCTCTTTTTTGTTTTCCCTGTCTTTTATTTCAAAGTGTCGGCACTGAAGTTTTGTGGACAACGACGGGGGTAAGAGACCTCAAACATCTCTCTGACAAATGCAAACGTCATGAAAGTAGCCGCAGCCATATTGATAATAGCATGAAACTAACGTTTTTATGTTCAAGTAGGAAACATGCTTTTTGGTACTTTGGTCTGAAATGTATATAAAAGAGAAACATTTATGTTCAAGTAGGAAACATGCTTTTTGGTACTTTGGTCTGAAATGTATATAAAAGAGAAACATTTATGTTCAAGTAGGAAACATGCTTTTTGGTACTTCTTTTGGTCTGAAATGTAAATAAAGATCATCAAAATTTATATTAAAGTAGTCAAAATGGTTTTTGGTACTGCTTTATATTTATTTGCCCCCCTCAATAAAATAAAAAAAATGCGCCCCCCCAAAAATAAATATCACCAGCCGCCACTGACCTAGACCAAAGGCAGATAGGTCACAAACTGGTCTTTATTGGTTTAAATACACAATGAAAACACAGGATAATAAGGAATACCATAGTGAGGTAAGGAACTACTTGAATATGATAAACATTGACATTCGCATATACTTAGTCAATGATATTTGTAATCCCATATATATCGATAGTGATGGGTATATGTGAAGAAGGTTACATTATTGTTATCAAGCTCTGTGTGTACTTAGCTGGTTTTAACAAGGGTAACCAAATCCAGAATCAAAACACTGTGCATCAGTGTATACTACTACAACCACAGTAATACCATCAGAATCACTACCCTGTGTCTCTCATCAAACTGCTCGTCTATCTCGTCATCTGACTCCCCGAGTTCAAAGTCAGGTTCTGGATCATCCTGCAGGTTTTGGTTACTGCAGGTCTGTAACCTGCACATGTCTGTGCATGTCAGTCCATTTGCCAGACACGTGCAGCTTGGCATTTTGCATGAACGCACACACTTGCATGCTAGCAGTTCCAAGACCACATCTGGTGCGGGTGGGGAGGGCATCCAGTAAATTTGCCAGCTTGCCATCATCGTCTGTCCATCCATACTCAGTAGGGCTTGGCACCACAGGGTTAGCCTGCAGACAGCACTTCCAGATTGCTGTCTGATAGTTGGCTCGTTGAACGTGCATGAAGAGGCAGTCTCTACATGGTGGCAGCTGGCTGGACTCGACTTCTCCCCTTTTGGTGCAGAAGAGCTGGTAGTGCAGTTCGTTCACCTCACCAGTGCTGCTATTAGCAACATAAAAGCGACAGGTGAACTGCTCAATTTTCTGGAACAGCTCATCACTCACATTCCATGACTGCCCCAGTCGACTGAACGTCTCTTGGCAGTAAGTGTCCTTTCTCACCATCTTCAGGGCATTCAGCTTTCCTCGACCGGTGAATGGACTGACAGTGTCGCAGCCTGTGAAGGCGTGTAAGCCAATTAGGCTGTCACAGATGCTGTCTCCAAGTGACCTTGCCAGTTTGCTGAAATCGACAAACCGTGTGCGGTTCTGTGTCCCACACTTCTGGTAGATGGGACAGGTGATGTCCTTCTGGAAGCCAAGACAAAGCACCATTACATCAGTGTCCTCAGGTGTGATGATAACTGCCTTTGAGCCCACATTTGCTGCATGCAACGCATGCAGGAGCAGACTGGTCTCAGCTTCTCCATGCGTGGAGTGCAGCTCTGCTACTTCCTCACACTCATCTTCTGTCAACTTGTAGCAGGTTTCCTCACAGGTCATGTACAACACCTTGCCATGCAGCATCTCTCTGTGTCGTGGGAGTTTCCACTCCTCTACCAGAAACTTGATGAGACTGATCTTGTTGGAGGGACTGCAACAAAATTTTCTCCACTGCTGGACGTGGTGTCCCCCTGCAAGGTTCTTATACTGGAGAGTGGTGTCTGCACCCCGGTTCAGTCGTTAAGCATTTTTGATCGAAGTCTGTCGGTAGACATCAAAAACACATCAATCCTCTCACTCTGTGCCCCCTCATGGAGGACCTGGGTCAAGGCTGACTCTGCCACTTGTGCAAAGGTTTTGTTTTGCCATTCATTTGTGGGACCGGGCTCATCCCATCAATGATGGAAGTTGATGGGGTTGGGATGTCTTCTGCAGGAGACCCATTCTTTTCCAGCTCTCTGGTTAGTGCAGCCTTGTTTGTTTTTCGTAGAGACCCATCAGCATTTGCCAGTGCCCATGGCAGTGGGCCCAGTGGGAGGGCAAGGCCATCCTTCGTATTCACCTTCCTGATTTCAGCCTCCAGGGTCATGTGGCTGAACAGGTTTCTATCTGCCTTCAGAACCACATCCTGTGCTTTCTTTCCATGTGCTGTTTTTGTGCTGATATTGGAGAATGTCTTCAGACTTTGCTTGGTAATCTTGTCGTGGAATTGCACAGATGGTGGGTCCTCAGCTAACCTTGTTTGCTTGAATACCTGGTAGGCCTCTTCTCCTATCTCAAGAGCTCTCAAGAGATCCCTGTTCATATCAGGTGGAGCCATGGTGCCAGTGGAGAGGCTAACCAGATATGTCTCATTAGGGGACATATGACTGATCCAGTTATTCTCCATAAGGTCAATGAGAGACTGGACATCTGCTTCATCTCTCTTGATCCTTGGACCCTGTAGATCTGAATGGGACAGTTTTTATCTGCATTGACCTATCAGGCCTCTCAGCTGTCTGAGGTACATGCTTCTGTACTCAGCTGTTAGGTAATATTTGGTCAACGCTCCTGGCTTCAAGCTGAATCCCTTTGTCCCTCCAGCTGTCTGGGTGTCTTTGTTCACCGTTTCTTCTATAGCTTGGTCAACAGGGATTCGGCCAAAGGGATTGGTGGAGTCCAGTTGAACTGAGAAGCCTCCTTCCATGAATTCCGTGTAGACATCTGGGTGTGTGATGGGCAGCTGAGACATCTGGGCGTAGTAGCAGTAGGGGAGGTAGCGTGCATAATTAATCATATCATAAGCGAAGCACCATGGGATCATTGCTCGAATGCTTGTCAAGTGTAGCATCCAGTCTCCCTCTCTGGAAGCTCGGATGAGCCCCAACAAGATTTGAACCATGTCCAAATAGGACACCCAGTAGGTCGAGAGGCTGCCGTTTCACCTCTGAGGAACTCGCGGTAGACTTCAAACAGTTCCATGATGCGTGTACATGAGCTGTTCTCGAGGACCTCCTTCAAAGCGGCTTGTGAGACTTCTTTCCCAAGGTTGTCAATGGTCCTCAGTGTCTCATCCAGGTGAACCATGCCGTTCAATTGAGTTGCTTCCAACCAGGACAGGAAACCATTCCACGTCAGTCGCACGAGAGCCTCATACAGAAGTTTGTGTAGTCGCACTGCCCTGCTGTACTTGCGGCCATCCATAACACCAGCAATGGAGCCTTCTGCGATCATGCCAGACTCAATGCAGATAATTATTACCAATAACAAAGTTATTGGTAATAATTGTGTGCATGTTATGAAAGTTTACAATTTTTAGAAGCAAAATATCAAAAAAATATCAAAATTGACAAACTGAACAAAAATAATTATTTTTGCTTGTAGTACATGGACTTAACTAATAATCTTAACAGGTACATTAACAATACATTGGGGGTAAAGTTAGCACTTTAGATATCTTTACTGAACAGAAATAATACAGAACCACCAGTACTTGCCTCACCCGCCAGTAAATGATCATGAGCAAACAAGCTGCTAGAAACAGAAAGAAAACAGATAGCACCAATCTATTCCAGACTTAACTAAGTCACTGAAATTGAAGAACAAGCGTGACTAAATGCAAGAATGTGTATGAAATACATTCCTTGGGGACAAACATCCATTTAGTAAATTATTGATTGTCTTAATTAACAGCAGAGGTGTTGGAATGTTTTGTGACATCGGGCAAATAGGCGTGATTGCGATAGGTGCAAAAACAGATTTCCTGCGAGAAAAATGTAACAGCTGCTCATTTGGAAAGGTTATCATGGATTATTTTACTTGTGTTGGTGTCACAAATAAAATGGCACCATTGAAGTGTTGCCACCTTGGGCGGTACCGATATGTGGTCTGGCCCAAGGACTACAAGAGGAGGGCCCTCCTCTTGTTGTTCATTTCCTCGCACCGGGGGCCCATGGCAACTACCGCTGCGTCACAACGCTGATCAGAACTATTTCATGACCGCAGAGGGAGCTATTTACATGAAGGCAAATGATGTAGTTGTTCGGAACACAGTGTCCCCGGAAAGAAATGTCAGACTTACCGAAGAAGCTCCCTCGTTATGTAGTCATTGCGTAACATGTACGGTTTATTGTTCAACGTGAAGTGTAAAGTGCGAGTCTACGCGCACTTTTGATATCCGATCATCAACAACTTCCTTGAAGCGTAAAATGTGCAGTATTTGGCCCACCCCACACTTAGTCAATGATAAGAATTCCATCGACACCGCCATTATAACTACTATAGTGTCCTTAATGCTCGATGTCACTCTACATCGAACAGCCCCCCTCATTAATAATCATGAGCAGGTGACGTCCTCCAAATGGACCCCCCATTCATAATAATTAGCGGCTGAC